TAAATACATGCATATATACATATATAAATATATACATATATAAATATATACTGTAATAAACAGAAATTCATCAAAAGTGACAGCTCTCAATTTTTTGACATTTGTAAATTCTAAATTGAATGAGAAAAATGAAATAATACTAAGCATAATACAATATTCTAGATTTAATTATAATTAGGAAAAAGTTAGTTTTGAGAGTACTTTTCATAGGCATATAGAATGAAATCTTCTGAAAAATAATATCACATAAACTCATATTATTTTCTAATATATAACTATTTTATATAAAAATCAAATTCAATGATCTTAAAAGCGAAGGATAAACCTCAAAATTTACGAATATAATGAGTGGGAATATAATGCTTATCTATCATAAAACCATATGAAATATCAATTTTTGCTTTACGCCTAATTTTTGACGACAATTAGCAAAAAATGTTAAATGTTAACACTCAGTCCATTTGAATATGAAAAATAAAATTGACTTTGATTAAATGTTTTTATTTATCATGCAATTCTTCTTGCGACCAAAGATTTGAATAAAAGTTCAAAAAATAAGATAGCTTAAAAAATAATATACGGTAGTGTTTACTAATAGATGAATAGTATATAAATTCTATTAAAATGGATTTGATCCAAAAAATATATAAAATTTGATCATAAATAAAATCGTTTTAAATTACTTCTTCAGAGTGGGGGACAAACTCGCCCATTGTCACTTTTTCATTAACCTTAAACTTGTAATTTTCATTATTTTTAATTAACCTTATTTCTTTCCCAATTCCTGATTTATTTTATTCACTTACTATTAAAAGTCACATTTTAATAAAATATAATAATTTATTTATAGCATTTTTTACTATACTGTAATAAAAAATTAATTATAATAAATTAAATGTTTATTAAATCAAATGTTTTCTTTGCAATAATATTTTTAATGTTGAGTAAACAATGTTGGGATCAAGTGTATCATTTTTCAGACCTTTCTGAACAGCTTCAAGCATACTGATGCATTCGACTTTTTTAAATTGTGTCATTTCTTCGAAATCTCTTGTGACTTTTTTGATAACTTTAACACTTCTCTCTGAATCCAGACCTTTAATTTGCAACTTAATCAGGAATGAAGGAACAACACTGGAATATAACTCGATGACAAGTTCATCGAGTCGAAGATTTCGCCTTTCTGGGAAGTACTGGTGCTTCAAAACCTTGAAATGTGATTCCGAGATGTTGTTTGTTCCATCTCCTTCATTTATATAGCGAAGCATCCACCTGTCAAGATGATGGCGCCACTGTCGGTCAAAGTATTCACGGGCAGCAGGTTCCTCATTTAAAATTTCTTCTAAATTGTTGTAAATTTCATCAGGATCAATTTCTTCCTCTTCAGAACCAAAGACCAATAACTTCATTAAGTTATAGAAAGTTTCGAAGTTGGAACGATCTTGAAACTTTTCAGCCTTTCTCATGACAGCGCGCAACACATGAACGCCACACCAAATGATCTGGCATAAGGGGATGGCTGTTTCAACAGCATTTGTGATTTGAGGTGCGCAGTCCATTGAAAAATAAGATGGTTCGCGATTGATGGAGCCAAAATATGCTGTGAGACAAACTTGTATATTTTCACTTGTGTCGGGCCAAACGAAAAAATACAAAAACGGAAAAACAATTGATTCCGCGAATTTGCCAGTGACGGCATAAAATGGTATGCGAGAGCGCAAGAGCTTATAAGTGGAATCAATGTGATAAGTTTGTATTTGATGTGAAAAAGCATTTGCTTCGAATGGGGCGTAATAGAAAATCATACGATCTGGCTCGTGAATAAACTCGATGAGATCATCCGGAGAATGACTCTTAACCATGTCGACAAAAATTGCAAGAGATGTAACATCATCCGCTGAGAAACGGGTATTGATTGCATGAAGGCGTTTAGAAAACTTTTTTAAAGCATCTGTAGATTGTTGAAACATTTCCGGAATGATCCCACTATCAAATGGGATATTAAGATCTTTGAAACACCTTAATTGTGCGTAAACACGGTCTTGATTTGATTCAAAGTATCTTGTTAAATAAGATCTATAAAAATATGATGTAATTTGTTGTGATTTGTTTGGAAAAGGGGCAGAATGATTGTGGGTGTTAATACATTTTCGTATGTGGTACTTGTCATCGGGAAGTGTATCAACAAGGAAGCGACATGGACAATTCGGCCACTTACAATTAAATTGGATTTGATTTCTTTCTTTCCTAGTTTTATATGAATAACTACAACCTGCTTGGATTTCTTGTTGCACTCCATACTTAAGCAACTCGATATATGTGAGTTCGTGATCTTGGATCTGCATTAAAATGAAATGATTTGAAAGAATAAAGAATTTTGAATATATTGGTCTTATTTTGATAAGCTTGGTCGTGTTTTGAATAGCTTGGCCATCTAATTCAATTATGATCTTTGAAAATTAGGTGAAATAAAACTAAACATAAATGTAAAACTAGGGATATGAAATTTTGGTTGTACACCACTTGTATGTGCCGGATACCATTGTGTCAAATTTTTTCTGAAATTAACTTTAAAAGTACTAAGTAAGATCATGAGATATAGCAATATATGTTTAAACCAACTTATATTTTGGTTGTACACCACTTGTATGTGCCGGATACCATTGTGTCAAATTTTTTCTGAAATTAACTTTAAAAGTACTAAGTAAGATCATGAGATATAGCAATATATGTTTAAACCAACTTATATTTTGGTTGTACACCACTTGTATGTGCCGGATACCATTGTGTCAAATTTTTTCTGAAATTAACTTTAAAAGTACTAAGTAAGATCATGAGATATAGCAATATATGTTTAAACCAACTTATATTTTGGTTGTACACCACTTGTATGTGCCGGATACCATTGTGTCAAATTTTTTCTGAAATTAACTTTAAAAGTACTAAGTAAGATTATTTATTTTTGCATAATATAATGCCAATATGGTTTCTTTTAATTTTATTTCATTTATAAGCAAATCAGATTTACCCAAAAACTCCACTCCATAAGCGTTCATTTGCTAAATTAAAAAGTGACAATGGGCTAGTCTGTCCCTTTCTCACTTCTTCATTTAAATTATAACAATTATTTTTGGTTTTATATTTTTTTGGATCAAATCCATTTTAATAGAATTTATATACTATTCATCTATTAGTAAACACTACCGTATATTATTTTTTAAGCTATCTTATTTTTTGAAATTTTATTCAAATCTTTGGTCGCAAGAAGAATTGCATGATAAATAAAAACATTTAATCAAAGTCAATTTTATTTTTTATATTCAAATGGACTGAGTGTTAACATTTAACATTTTTTGCTAATTGTCGTCAAAAATTAGGCGTAAAGCAAAAATTGATATTTCATATGGTTTTATGATAGATAAGCATTATATTCCCACTCATTATATTCGTAAATTTTGAGGTTTATCCTTCGCTTTTAAGATCATTGAATTTGATTTTTATATAAAATAGTTATATATTAGAAAATAATATGAGTTTATGTGATATTATTTTTCAGAAGATTTTGTGTTCTTCTTCAAAATTTTATTTTTTATTAAAAAGAATCTTTACAAAATATACATTTACTTTAATTAATATTTAAAAACGTGCTCTATCAAAAGTTCCAAAAATTCAATATTTTAGCTTTTCTGAGGTGTCACTTTTGATGAATTTCTGTTTACAACAATACATATATAAATATATACATATATAAATATATACATATATAAATATATACATATATAAATATATACATATATAAATATATACATATATAAATATATACATATATAAATATACATATATAAATATACATATATAAATATACATATATAAATATACATATATAAATATACATATATAAATATACATATATAAATATACATATATAAATATACATATATAAATATACATATATAAATATACATATATAAATATATTTATATATATAAATATATAAATAACAAAATACAATCAAAAAATAGTGTTTGGAAATTTAAGGTTGAGTGTCACTTTTTCGTAAATTCTACCACACTCTTAGCATTTGGAGCAAAATCACTTGGAGCTTATGACGCAGTATATAAAATGAGTGGAGGAAGGGTTTCGAAGACATTAGATGCAAATAAAGGAAAGATTGGAGGCTGGGTTGCAAAGAAGTTAAGATTAAATAAAATAGGACTCATAAATAAAGCATCCAATTTGGTTGCGACTGAGTCAGAAAATGCTTTAGGAAAGGACGATGAGTTTGCAAAACACGCAAAAGACTTTAATGACCAGATGAAAGGTGAAACAATGCATTTAAATAGAGTCGATGGAACTAAAGAAAATGTTTCTTCTCCACTAGTAGTTCTTCCGTATGGTCCCTATGGAATGTATGGAAACCCTTACGAAAGACCATTTGACCAATTGACTGGTGGAAGTAATTGGTATCATTACGGCCGAAGAAGAAAGACAGTCAAGTTGGAGACAGACGTGAAGAAAGCAACTAAAAAGAAACCAAGGAAGAGAGTTATAAAGCAATGAATTCAACAGGGTAGAAATGAGGTTAGAAATCGGGTTAGATCTAACCTTCTACCCTAAATTTATTTTTGGTGTAAATTCACAAGGTTAGTTATCGGGTTAGAAATCGGGTTAGATCTAACCTTCTACCCTAAATTTATTTTTGGTGTAAATTCACAAGGTTAGTTATCGGGTTAGAAATCGGGTTAGATCTAACCTTCTACCCTAAATTTATTTTTGGTGTAAATTCACAAGGTTAGTTATCGGGTTAGAAATCGGGTTAGATCTAACCTTCTACCCTAAATTTATTTTTGGTGTAAATTCACAAGGTTAGTTATCGGGTTAGAAATCGGGTTAGATCTAACCTTCTACCCTAAATTTATTTTTGCGCTATGTTTTCATACGTGTGAGGGTGGTGATATCATTTATTTTTAAATAAATGTGGGAACAAAAATAAAGCATATCTACTCAACAGGAATGAGACCCTTACTGACTATGTATTCGTTTAATGCTTGATGAAAACAATGGTACATATTATCGTATGGGTATACACAACGTCTGTTTCCATCGTCGTCGTATATGTAGAGCTCAAATCCAGTCCAACCTTCTTTTGTACAATATGTAGCTTTATTTAAGTATGCATTTATGTAGATAAGGCAATTTTCTTCATCGCTCCAGAAATAATTTTTGGTCATTGTTGAAATAGTTTTCGTTCCTCTACGTCCATAAGGAATGTATGCAATAAATTTAGCATCATAAGGTATTATAATATATTCAGGATTTCTTTCATCGTCAATGGGTCTGTCTTTGTTAAAATGCATGTTTCTCAGTTTTACTTGAGTTTTGAATAGTTCACGGAAACGTTCTGGGAAAGAGTCATAGTAAATGTAGTCAGAGATGTCTTTGTAATGAAATAAAAAATTAAAAAAAAATAAAAATAAGGTTATTTTTTATTTAGTGAGGACGGTAGTGAATTCGTTAGTGAAGTCGTTAGTGAAGTCGTTTATGTGTCAGATGGTTTTGTAAATATTTAAGGTTAAGTTGGTGTTATGGTTGTGTTGTAAAATATACGTTACCGGTTTCGTAAAGTGTCAAACTGTTATCTTGGGTAAGGTGGAACGCAGTGCCACAGTACCCAACATAGTCATACTAACTTTTATTTCATTATCACAAAATGAAGATTTTACTTCAACACCACAATCAAGAAGATAAACAATGCTTAGAATATAGTTCTCTTTTATGATGCACCAATAAATTTCTGTTTTCATCTTATTTAAATCGAATACACCTTGATATTTTATTTTTTGGTAGTTATAATTACCGTTTCTAATGATATTGTAGTAACTTATATTCAATAAGAGGAGCTTAATTCCATTACAATAATGGATCATGCAAGCTTGCTTTGATGTGCTTTGACTACAGTTATAAAACGAAGAAAATTTAAGGCTGCAACTTGAATGTAAATACTCAATATTAACACCTGCATTTTGGATGGCGCAATTGTTTGTAAAATTACCATTTTCGGTTTCGGATTGGCCATAATAGTTATCAATGGGATATTTTTTGTCACTTTTACCACAAAAATTGACACTTGTCATTATTAAATTGTTCTTTTTATTGGGTGATGACGAAACATATGATCTCATAACTTGGCCTCTTCCCTCTGATACTGAATGAAAGAAACATGCCTTGTTGAAAACGATTTCCCCGTTGTTGTAATATATAGATCCGCCGTCACTTTTTGATGAACAAGAATAGAATATAGATTTTTCAATCAACGATAATGTTTGTGCGGTATTTGCTGTAAACTTTAGTGCAGTATCGGCTGTGATGATTAAGGGTGCACCCGTATGTACGTTTATTTGAGAGGAGGAGGATTACCCTCTCAATTTTGAGGGATTCGTTAGTTTATTTTCTCGATGAATATGCAATAAAATTTGATTTTTACCTTATCAATATACTTCATATAATATACACATGTTCATGTAAAAACTTTTTCCAAAATCCTCAGTAGGGTTGTTAAAAATATCAAAAATTAGCGTTTTGAAGACACCATGGTGTCTTATAATTTTCCCTTCCTTATTGGCGTGTAGAAATAAATGCGCCAATAGATTGAAGAAGAATTGTTTTTCTCTTAATGAACTTTAATCCTTTTGATATAAGAATATTAAAAACATTAATATAATTTCGATTTCGGAAATTAAATTTCCAAATTTTTTGTCGATTTCGGAAATAACAGGATCCCGCATCCAACACGCAACAACAAAACACAAAACACACTTTTTGGTTCTTTCATCGTTTTAATCGTAATTTATGTAATACATGATTTGGATAAATTTTACAAAAATAGAACCTATATTATATTCTTTTCAAAGATTCTTGCAAATCATCAAAAATAATTGTATTTTAAAAAACGATCAAATTATCCTTTCATTATTTTAAACTTAAATTAGTTTTTATGATTGATTAAAGCAATCATATTTATTCATCATTAAATAAACAAAAAAAATAATATTTGAGAGTTATTTCAAAAAAAAACACATTGAATTTATTAATTTGTCTCAATTTCAGTATTATAAATTTTTATAATTTCAATATTTTGAAATACACTTTTTAATATTTCAATATTTATGATATTTCAATGTATTAAGTGGTCTCAAATTGAGCTTCTCAAATATAAGTTGGCCTATTCAAATAATAAAATTAAATAATATTTAAAATAATAAATAAAAGTGATTGAGGTCATAGCAAAACGGCTGTTTCAGTCATTAATTCTTAAAAATAAAAGGGGTAAAAACTAAATAAAATGGGTAAAATTCAATAGTGTCTGTGCTATCGTTCAATTTGAAGGTGTCTTTTGAAACCGCAAGGCACATTGAATTTTTGAATAGTGTATTATGGTTTGACAGACACCAATGAAAAAAATAAAATGATATTTATTTTAAATATATAAGATCCTTATATAAAATATAAATATTTTATCGTTTTATTTTCTTGTTTTAGAAATGTTTTTATTGAAAAATCAATAAAACGAGTAGGTGCCAAAAGTGCTTACTCTTAAACAACCATCGGATTTCCGGGTGAAATCGTGACACACTTTCGTCTTTCGTAGGCAGTGGTGGTTGTTACAAAAGGTAACTTCGAATGTAGCGTGAAATCTGCAAAAAAAATTCTGAAATTTGAATGGAGAACACAAAAATTGAATAGTTTACGTCAATAAAAAAGAGAAAAATGAAGCCAATGTGTCTCGAACCTAGGACTTAGAGCAGCAATCCCACTGTTTATCACATTACACTACATGCATCTCTCACCTCAGTGAATGAGATCAACTATATGATAACTTTTTCCCCATTATATTCTTGTGGAAAAGTGACAAATAGCAACTTTGACCCTCTCTCTCAATAAAACTAACTCCAAAATAAAATTTTTGATTTAAAGACACTATGATGACACCAGGCAAATCTTCCAAGACACCTATCGTCGGGAATCTAACAACCCTAATCCTCAGGAATTAAGGGATTTTTGAATTTTAAGAATTTTTTTCGAATTTTTTCGAAAAAAAATATTTTCAGAACAGCCTTAACGGCTAAGATTTAGGAACAATGTTAAGTATCAAAAAGAAAGGAGGTCTGATATAGACAACATATATCGTTGAAGGTTGAAAAAATCTCTAATATTTGAGCCCAAAATTTCAAATTTTAATTTTTTGAAAAAAGAGGCCACCCGTATGTACGTTTATTTGAGAGGATGATTATATTTTTGAAAGGGTGAAACATTATGAATATGTTAATTATATAATAATATGTATTATTATAAAAAAGAAAAAATAAAGCACGTTAAAATTTTTCTTTCTTGATTTTTTACAAAATCTACTTAGAATTATGCAAAATATGACTAAATAATTATAAATTTCAAGTTAAATTTTAATTTTGATAAATAATTTAAATTTCAAAATATCAAGTTCAGTTCGAATATGTATGTAGTAATTACTCAATAAAGTGCCAAAATCCTATTAAAATATATGAACATTTTCAACATTTTAATGTTTTTATTTAAAAATTTGTATGGCATTCCAAACGGGAACCGCGGTTGGTTACCATGGATTTCCGTCACCGGTCACATTTTAAAGATTTTTTAAGCCTTATAAAAATATGCTTTGTAAATCGGCAAAAATTTGGTAATTTTCTTCGACTAATAAATCTGCGAATAGCATTTATAATACAAGAACAATCTTTTAAAATGCGTTTGATTCATTTTTGTATAATTTCATATAGGCACATATATTCTTCCGGGACTTTCCGTGATTTTACCGTAAAATCATTAGTTTACACCAATTTTTCCGTATTTTGAATAGTTTACTGCACTTTTTCCGTAAAATTGAGTTACGGGAATCCGCAAAATTTCCGGACCTCATTTTTCATAGAATATAATAATAATATTTGATAAAAAGATATATTATTTATATTTTTGATTTTTGAATTACGGAAAAAGTGAATTGATAACTTGATTTTTTATATGGTTAATTTTTCAAATGATATTATGAAGATCTAAAATATTAAAAGTAAAAAATTGAATTACGGAAAAAGTGAGGTCAAAAGTGAAATAAATTTGCAGAACAATTTTCATTGAAATAAGCTTTATTTTTCATTATTAATAACAATGCAAAAAATATTTATCACGGGTTCAAAATTTAAAATTAAATATTTTAATAATTTACATCTTATTCTTTATTTTATATTTAACCCGTGAAAATATCATTTAAAAATTGAATATATTCAAAAAGCTTTATTTTTATTATGACTGCATGGGATCCTCATGTATATGATGAGTGGATTCCATATAAAAAGACGAAATATCCACCAACTCCTGAAACATTGGAAATAAAGTGTGGGAAAAAATGTTTCACTACGATCGGCTATTATGAGAATGAGCCTAATCAATCAGACAAAGGAAGGCTCTTTACATACTGTGCCGAATGTAGTGAAACATTAGTTCAAGGGCAGTTCGTGCGATGCATTAAAAAAGCAGGAAAAATGATTTTAAAGATCATAAGTGCAAATTTTTACTCCCAATGCCCAACTACGTTCCTGCTGAGCACCAAGTTGAGAATACTCAGCAAGCAGTTGGCTCTGGTAATGATCCTTCGTTAGAAGAGATCATTGCCAGGCTTATTGCGAGCCTAGATATAAGCCTTTATGCCACAATGAAGCCAGCATTTAAAAGCTTCCTAGAGAGCTTCGCCAAATGGCTTAAAAATAAAGTCAATCGCGAACAGGGCATCAACTTTACAATCCCAGACATTGAGTTCACACGGCGCGGTGTCAGAGAGGCATTGATTACTTTAGGCAAAACAGACTCCTCTCGGGGCCTAAAGTTCTGCGAGGAATTCCGCATCTTCTCAATTTCCCTGGACTGCGGAACACACGGCAGCCGTCATGGTCTATTCTCTTGTGTGTGCAATCCAGGCAAAACAGATCGCCACCAATTCTTCGACACAACAATTTCGACTAATTGGACATACGAGGACTACCATACGTGGTTTGATTCTCTTAAGGTTAATAAAAACCACGTAGCTGGAGTAGTCGGAGATGGTTTGACAGCCCAGGTTAAAGGACTCTGCCACTGGAGGCCAGAAGGAGCCCTTTTCCCTGGCTTACAAACCGTGTACATTCGTCGCCTTAACCACGTCTTGAACAATGCTATTGTCCACGCACGTAAGCAATGTCCATTGTTGAATGAACTGATGAATAGAGTTCACCAGATTATCATTATCTTTAAGAATCACGATATGAGAGCGAGATACAAGATCAGGGTTCCATCAATCCCGGAAACTCGCTGGCTCTACATATATGATACTCTGTTTTTCATCTTTGATAATCTGGAAACAATTAATACTGCTTTAAGAAGTGGAGATCTTCCACTATCCCTTTCCAGAGCTACACGTGAACAGTTACAATGGACACGTGATGGAATTCCTCCACTCTTTAAAGATGCTTTAATGATATTCAAGCCATTAAAGCTGTTATATACGAAAACGATAAAAACAGTTTGACAGAAAAGTGACAACTTTACATGTCAAAAATATAAAAAGTGACATTTTATTCATCATTATCTTCTTCATAATTTATTTCATATTCTTCTTCATATCCACCTTCATATTCTTCACTTTGTCCCTCCTTCTCTTTTTTACCATCTTTATTATCGATTTCTTCTTCCTCATCTTGGAGTTCTGGTATTTCTCTAGCATGTACTGATCCTGGGAGAAAGTCTTGGGTAACTCCATCAACGACCCATTTGGCAGGCATTCCTGGTCTCCAAGTTAGTATACATATCAAGGGTACTGAGGCACTGCGCGCCTCCTTACCCATTATATGTGAATTTGACACTTTACAAAACCGTTAACGTATATTTTACAACACAAACGACAACACTAACTTAACCTTAAATATTTACAAAGCCGCCAACCAATTCACCTCACTAATGTAAAAAATAAACGTTCTCACTTACAAAAGTATTGCAACTCCTCCCATTGCTGTGCTTCACACAACAGTTCATATTCTTCTGACTCACTTTCTTCTTCATATAGGTCAAAGTCACTGTCAAAATAAATGTTAGTAAGTTTTGACAAAGATAATGAAACACGTTTACCGTTTGTATCGTATGCTTGTATAAACTTTCCATTATGCTTGTAGTCATAAACACTCAAACTAACTTTACCCTTTCTCCCTCGTATCTGATAGAATGTATTTTCACGAGGAACGAAGAACAAATTCTTGAACTCATGACCGTTGTAGTTTGTTATCTCAATAGTTTTCGTCATTTATATAAAAATAAAATAAAAATAATTTTAAAAATAAAATAAAAATAAATGATATCACCACCCTCACGCGTATGAAAACATAGCACAAAAATAAATTTAGGTGAAGTGGTGAGATCTCACCTCTTTTTTCACCTGTTTTTTCACCCTGTTGAATTCATTGCTTTATAACTCTCTTCCTTTATCCAACTCTTCTAACTTCTTCTTAAGTTCAGCAATGTTGTCCTCATGAAGTTTAATCTTTCTCAAAATTCCTTCTTTATCTAATGGTTGCTTTATCTTTCTAAACTGAACTCTACCATCCTTCATAGTATGAATGTAAAAACCTTCTGGAATAGTTCCTGATTTAATGTATTCTACCAAAAACTTTTGTTTCATTGCTTCAGTGACTTTATTTGTCATTTCAATCAAATAAAAATTTTAATATTAAATAAAAATAACGTTATTTTTTCAGTAAGGAAACGCAGGAGTTTTACGATTTATTTGAGGAGTAGGTTCTGGTTTAAATGTTGGAGTCGGTTTAGGAGTTGACTTTTGAACAGGAGTTTGTACTTCCATAGGTTCAGGAGTCATTGAAGGTTTTGGCGAAGGTGTTGGAGTTTGTTTAACTTCAGCTACTTCAGTATTATTTACAACATTTGCTTTATTTCTTTTCAACATCATAACTGCTCCTGCTGTAGCTAGCAAACCTAGTGGGAGACCATATCTTATATAAGGACTTGACCAAATGCTATTTTTGACAGGAGCTGGTGGAACACCTAACCTTGGTGAGACTGCTCTTTGCCATTGTGCAGCTCGTAAGAAATATTCAATAGGTGCTCCATAATCGTTTGGTAAAGTTTGTTTCATAGATGGTGAAGGTTCACGAGAGCTTGATGAAGAACTCATTTATAAGCTTTAAAAATAAACGTTCATCCTTTATTCCTCACTGTCGTCCGTAGCTAAGTTATAGTCATCTAATCTTATTATTGGGATTCCATTAGCACGCACCTGAATGGCAAAGCAACAATCCCTCATAAATCCAATAAGTGGCTTTGGTACATTTTCAGTTGCTAGTTCAATAGGTCCTTTAACAGACAATTTGTATGTTATTGGAGCAGTAGATGTTTGACCTTGCTGGAAGCAAAAGTCCACTTCTGTTGGAAAACCACATAAGAAATGTGTGTTGTCATAGCTATCCCATTTATGTTCCACACTACCATCATCCACCAATGACCTCATAACATCTTCATTAAATCCTATCATATCATTGTTTGTATTGCAAGCGTTCGCAACCATTTCATAAAATACAGGTCCATATGATTTTTCAGGTTCTGCAGGCATATTTCCATAAGCTCCCATGGAAAGCTGAAGATATTTAAACTTAGGGTTCTCAAAATTAACATAATAGTTGTCTTTCTTTCTAAATAGTGCCCAAATACTTTTAACATTAATAGGCGTATAAGCTGCTGTAAATGTTGCACTTGAACTATCTGTATTCTTTGAGAATGAACCGTCCATAGGAATCCAATCCATAACTTTAACAGGAAAACATAAAGCCTCGTTTGTATAATGTTCTACAAGTTCTGTATAAATGTTAGGGTCTAAAGAGAATGACTTTGGATGAATGAAACATTCATTAAAATCCATCTTTGTTCGAAATAGTTGCTGGGTTACAGTTGTAATAGTAACTGTTCCACTAGCTTCTACTGCCTTCGTTATCATAGTGAATGGTTCATTCCATGGAACAAATTTATTTGTCGGTGGATTTGAATCTGAAGCAAATGCAACTTTAAGAGTTGGATTGAAAGCAATGATATCATTTACAGATATAGATGTGCATTGTAAGGCGTCGCTACTGAACTTTACTTTAAGCTGAATGTTTCCTGCAAACTGGAATAAATCGAATAGCTTCTAATGGAAGGAATCTTTAACAGGAATTCTTAAACGAAGCTTAAAATCAAATGATTTTCCTGCTGTAATCGGCCACTAACAATTTGTCCTGTTCTGCATGTTCCCGAATGACTCCATACATCTTCATGTCGAGTCTTTGAGAAAACATCTACTTTCTTTATTTGTTCGGTAGTTTGTGAGTTTGAAGTTATATATGCTTCTTCTCTTGCGTTGTCTTGAGAATATACGATACGACCATTTGCAAGGATTTGATATCCAGCAACTGCATAGAAAGCGTCATCGAAACCAATCCAAATCCTGGTGGGTTTGTTTTATTGGAACCTGAACCAATTTCTTTATCTACAATAAATTGACCTTCCATTTTATACGTAATGAATGTATTGTAAAGGTCCAACATATTTTCACCAGGAGGTGAGAGATTGAATGTTACCCATGTGTTATCTTTAGCAGTTCCAGGTTGTGATGGAATCTTTGCGTCAGAATATTTTCTATTAGTGTCACCAATTTGAACTGCATTGTCTATGATATCGAAATATGAGCGAATCTGATGAATATGCTCTGCTGGAGTAAATTCGTTTAGCTGTTCGTTCTGCATGTATTTACTTCAGATAAAAATATCTATTTACTTCATTATTCTCACTCTTCTTCTTGGCATTCGTGGTGGAAGTTGTTTCTTGACATTTTCAATGAACTGTACATTCTCTTTTGTCTCAACTTCTATCACTGGCGGGTCAGGGTTCTTTGACTCGGTTTGTTTTTCAATGAAATTCACGAACTTTGCAATAAGCTCTTGGTTCGTTATTGAAAGTACATCTGGCTTCTTTTCTTCTGGTTCTATTGACTTTTCAGTTTGAACAGAAGGTTTTATATGGGCTTCGTGGACTTCACCCTTACCATACACCTTAATGTTGTCGCTCTCTGTATTCGCTAATGGAACCTTTCTTTTTCTTACATATATTTTACCATCTTTACTCTGACTTACATAATAGAAAGGATGTTGTATTCCTCTGGCGTCATTTAATATAATAGACTCTCGCTCTGATTTTGACAAGCTCATTTTACATCGGTTAAAGTTTTAATTTTGTTTTTTATCTGCAGTCAAATGACTCAGACAAGCCCTACGGACAAGACCCAAGGGGTCATAGATGTTGAAGCATTGAAGAAAGAAATTCGTGAGCAAATTTTATCCGAACTGAAGGAACAAAAACAAGAACAAAAGCCAGAGAGACCAAAGAGAAAACTTAGTGAAAAACAACTTGCTGCATTAGCTGCTGGAAGACAAAAGAACCCAAGACTACTGGCGAAGAAAGCTAGAGAAGAAGATGAAGCAAAAGCTAAAGAAGCAAAAGCAAAGAAAGAGTAAATGGTTTATTTTTATCCGAATTAAATGTATAGACAAATACCTTTATCTGTTGCGTTCAGTAGTGAAAACCCTGACGTCAAAATAAAGGGGAACAGAGTAACGTTTAAGTTTCCAACAGACTGGATTGTGAACATAAATGAAGAGAAGTACATTGGCATAACATCTATGTATATAACACGTGCTTTCAGAAAGGTTGACTTTATACTTCAAGTCGAGATAGAAAATGACGAACAGTCTTTAAGCGCCCAAAACATTCACATATACAAATACTTTAAAGACGATACAACATTGCAACAATGTATGATTTCATTTAATGAGATGTTCGAGAAAAAGTTCAACATTGAAGTACAAACTTTACAGCCTTTACGTGAGTTTCTTGCACAACTGAAAGAAGAAGGTAGTCAGCCACAACTTATAGACTTTCATTATGAGTTTAATGAAAATGAAGATGGAACTCATGACTGTCAGTTTGTTGTATTCTCACCATTCAATGAAGTCGCTAAAAAGAAAAAAAATCCATTACGTATAAGATTTCAAATCTCTGAACCAAGTGATGATTTCAAGAATGTTTTCAATTATGATGCAATGCTTCCGAGGAAAAATGAATTTTCCGAAATTAGATTTCCAGGTATTTGGGATAGAAAGCAAGCTATATTATATTCAAACTTAAGTAAGGGAGTTGAAAATGAGTTCATTGGTCATACAAGAACTTCACCACTTCCTAACCCTAAATACTATAAATTAACTGGCTTCAATCGTGAGTTTTGGATAGACATGTTCTCCACTCATGACCATAAAGCACCTGTTTTGCTACCTCCAGACCATAAGGACTGTCTCTACATTGAAGCACAACTCTTAAACTCTACCATCGCAGTATTGTAAATGACCACATGAGCTTATTTTTATCACGAATGACCTCATTGCTGACAAAAATAAATGACCTCAGAACTTCAACTTACGAATAAAGCTTGTTTTAGTCGTTATTGAGAAGTTAAACTTCTCTTCAAAGCAAGGTTGACATGACTTACATAAGTCAAATCCAATCTCTTGACCGTCATAAAGTGCTTTATATAACTTCATTAAACTGAACTCAGAGTCTTTGTCATATGTTCCTTGCGGAACCATTAAACCTTTATCTTCATCATAGAAACACTGAACAGAGTCAGGAAACATTTCATTAGCGGTTAAAGCAATAACATCTTGTTTGACACCTTTCATTCTGCAGTGAAATGCAACTTCATTTAAATCATTCGTGAGTAAGTCTATGTAAGTCTTCTTTCCACAAAATATTGACTTGTATGCTAAACTTTGTTTTCCAGGTGTGATTTCTGCAAAGTCGCTATGAAATTGACCAAGGTTTTTACCAATGAGAACTCTTCCATAACGTTTCTCAAACTCTTCAGCTAAACGAGGGATATCTTCATTGTAGAGATGCATACTGTCCGTATCGCTATAAAAGATGTCCATTCCTAAGTCCTCAGCAGTACAGAATACTTCACACATTATTCTCTTCGACATAGACAGAATGTTAACACCAAGTGGACAGAAGTTAAAGTGTCTGCAAATGCTTTTCGTTAGCTTGAAAATAGTTTTATCTGAACCATCCAAACCTTCGAACTTCACTATATGGTTGTAGTTTCTGATGGCATATCTTATAGCATCTTTGTCATTTACTATGGTTATTTTTGACTCAATAGGAGATAGAATAGTTTTGCCATAAATACTGTTCAGAATGAGCTTTATATTTTCTTGCAAAGGATTTCCTTCTTTCTTATACTTTAACCTTAACTCAAACAACTTCTTTACTTCATCTCTTATTCTAATATCTCTGTTTCCATCGTAATAGTATCCTTGCAACACTTCACATTTGACACCTTGATATTTTATGAGGTCTTGTAATGTTATATGGTCAACATACATTAAACAGCAAGTGTTTGAACTTCTGGGAACGTTAAGTTCTGGATTTAGTTCAGGGTCACAAACTATTAAAGGAAAGTGTCTATGTATTCCAATCTCTGTTATCTTAATGAGAACAAAGAAGCCAGACATAAACTTTTCACCAATGGGTTCCTTTTGGTCGTCATTGAATAAATGTCTCATGAGATACTCTGTGCTTAACATTTCTGGCTTCATAACCTTTGGAATACCTTCTAAAGTATAAAGTCTTGCTATAGCTGATGGATATAATGAAACAGCGTCGAAATCAGCAATGAGTTTCTTTTCGCTCTTTTGTTTAATGTTATCTGACAGCATACATCTTCCACCTTGAATACAGCGTGAAATAAATTCTCTTGGTTTATTTGAGAGGTCATATAAATTTCCATTCGGGAAGTACACTCTGTTCTCAAACAATTTGTTAGCAATAGAACAAATACTAACGTAGTCATAAACGTTTAAATCAAATTCTTTCAATATGTCATTGCGGAACTTAACAAAACCTTCTCTTAAAATTCTTACATCTTGTTTGCAATAAAATGTGCTATACTTTTCTAAGTCGAAGTGGTTCTCATCTATTCTGCAACCTTTGATGGAATCTATGTTTTTCATGAATGTATCTGCATCCCGGATAAACTTACATGCTTCAGAAATGACACCAGTTCTGTTGTCATTTGCTAACAAAACACTGCTGTAGTAGTTGTATGGAAATACTTCTTTCGGTCCTGTTTGTAAGTTAAACATAGCAGGAAATAGTTTAAGCTTCTTATTTATAACACTGTAAGAGTCTTTTATAATAATTGCCCTTCCTTTATATAAGCCAGTTATTTGCATTGTTCGTGAACCTTTAATGATGGGAGTTCCTTTCACTTCTGTCATGTGTCTTAAGATGAAGTTTATATCATAACTGAGGTTATGGAAATATATTAAACTCTTGTCAGGAAGTCGTTCCAAAAATTCTGTTGCACAGTTCTGACCCCAAATGCTTTCACTCACTGAACCATCTTCACTGTCGTAACATATGTTAAAAGCTTTATGAAAGCCGTCTGTGCTACACTCAAAGTCAGCAAAGAAAACGTGCTCAGGAATGAACTTGCACTTATTTTTATTTACTTCTTTTGACTCGGCTTTCTTCTTCAGTTGTACACAATACTTTGGAGCATATGTCAAATCTTTAAATGGTGCAAGGTTCTGTTTTATAAGTCAGTCGTATATGTGAAAAGTTCTCCATAAGAAATAGGTTCGAAATATTTGCACTCCCACAATGTTTTCATAACATCCCATAGTGGTGTTGTTCTATCATAACGAACAATATATTTGTTCTCTCTCTTTGTATAAATCTTCATCTGTTTCTCAATGTTCATTCCACCACACTCCTTCAAGATTTCTCTGTAATTTCTGATGAAGTATGTTGTCATTGGTAATCTTTCATTTAGCATGTAGTGGTCTTCAACAAGAAGTAAGTCAATAGTTCTAACAGTTTCACATTCTTTTGGTATGTATCTCTTTATTTCATTATGTCTTGAGTCATTGAAGTAACCAATGGTAACATTAAATGCTATACCTGTTGCGTCAGAAATTTCTTGTACTTTACTTTGAGGAAAGTCTCTAACACGAATGACTTCTCTCATGTGGTCAATAGTTTCTTCATTTACTCCAGCCTGAATGCAAGCATAAACGAAACAATTGTCTTCTGTCATAAGTGCTGCAGTTCTTTTGTTCAATTCATTGAAGATTTGGTAGCGCTCAATTTATAGGTAATGTGCAAAGATACTTCCAGAACTGACCGCTTCTCTTCTTATAAAACTTCTTTTCACCATTATCTTTCCAAAAGCTTTCTATAGTGCTGGGTTTCCTGTTTGCTTAAGAGCTTCCAAAATGGCTTTCTGGTCATTTGTCAGTGTGCTTTCATCTCTATATGGTCTCTTTTTTGGTTTGCCTTTCTTTACATCTGACATCGTTAAGCCTTCATATTCTGTTAAATCATACATCTTTATTTCGGTAAGATTCTTTATGTTTGTCAAGAAGAAGTCATAGTGCATTTCAACAATACCTGCAGCATTTGCTTCTATCTCTGATATAAAGTTCTCCTTCAAGAGCTGATGTAGTAATGTTCCAATATTATTGAGGTTTAACGTAGAACATTCATACTTTCCACCAAGTTTATAACATACCATCCATCTCTGTTGTGAGTTTATTTTAATTTTCTCTAAGAGTCTCATGAAAACCTTACCGAAATGTTTGTGTAAGTAGTCTCTGTTTGGTTCATCTAAAGCTTCGATGTTAAAGTCAATGAGTCTATTGCCTGACTTCACATTTCTCTTCCTATTCTCTTCATCTTTCTTTAACCATCTCTCACCTTCTTTTGGTTTGTCGTCAATGGAACGAATGACATCGTTAGCTTTGCGAACTTGTTCTATAGCACTTTTAAACATCTCTCTTCTCTGTTGTTTCAGTGTGTCGTCTCTTCTTCTTGTTTCACCAACGTTTGCATTTGTTATGTCAAACATTTCTCTTCTTACTTCATGAGGTACTGAACGTCTATGATATAAGTCAATAGCAACGTCATTTAAAGGAAATGCTCTTGCATGGACTTCGTCCTCGCCGCGTTGCGGCTTTATGAACTCATGAATTCTATCATAACTTATTGCACCATTATAGTCTTTAATGAAGTCAGCGAGTGCTTTTTTGTTTGTTGTGTAATGTTTTGCTACTTCTATGTTAGCTTCTGTAAGAAGTTGTTTTATTTCCGAGTGTTCTAACTTAGACAACTTCCGATACATCTTTAGTAGGAAATAAAAAAATATTTTTGAAAAAATTAGATTAGATTTTTTAAAGTTATTTTTCAAAATAATTTAATATTTTTATTTTAATGAAACACATGCAAGATTGCAAGTTCTTTTCATACAATGCTCTCGCTACTGCCATCAAGAATGAGTTCAATAATGCTTCAAACGTTAATGTTATCTTTAACAAGAAGTTTGTGAAAGAATCTAAGTTTGGTCAGTATGTCAGACCATTAGCTATCGTCATTGACCGCAAACGTTATACTTCACAAGAGTTAGCAGTAGTTTTGAAACAAAAGAGTTTCTTCGTGAATGTCAAAGATACTCATTATACTGTTATAAAGAACTCTAATATTGACTTCTTCAGTATTGCTTTAAATCTTTCCGAACAGAAAGAATATAAGAAGGGTGAAACAAATGTGAAATATTATCCTTCATCTCTGAAGACAATAACGAACAAAGATGTTATACAGAAATTCTTACCAAAGGTTGAAGAAGCTTCTATTGACATTGACGAAGGAAGTGAAATGGTTGAAGAAATAGACCCTGAAGCTATTTAACCAAAAATATATTTTTGAAGAACTGAGGGTGTCACCATGTCACCACGTCACCATGTCACCAGGTTAATTAACTTCTTTTAAAAATGATGACAACATGACATTTTGACAACACAGCAGGATTAATGCAAAAATGAATGTTATCGTTAATGTTATCGTTAATGTTATCGTTTATGTTATCGTTAATGTTATCGTTAATGCTTACAGTGTCGAACATAATTGACGTAGGATTCATGACTTCTTCGTAAATGAGTGTAAATATAGCACAAAAATATATTTTAGGTGAAGAGGTGAGATCTCACCCGTTTTTTCACCTCTTTTTTCACCTCATTCTCTTTTCGTTAATGTTGTCGTGACTTCATCGTTAATGTTGTCGTGACTTCATTCTTCCTCTTTGAAGTTGTCGAAATATTCTGTTATTTTTTCCTTCAGTAATGTTAAGTCTTCTTTGAATGTAAGTATTGTGCAACCTTTGATGTCATAGTGTGTTTGAGGAAGAGTATTTTTGACAATTTCCTTTATTTGCTCATTCGGTGTCATTGAAATCGGTAAGTTTTCACGATAGAACCAGTTTCTGTCAGATTTATATATTTTAGCTAAGTCATAAAAGCTCTTGTTGTTTCTTCTGACTAAATGCAACATAACCATATCTTTATCTTCTTCTTTCTCCAACTCTTCAGTATAAATCATATACTTATAACTCTTTTCCTTTCCTTTTGGTACTGAACGTGGTATTCTTTTCTGTATGCTTTTGTCTTTGGATTCAATAACTTCATCTTTTGCATGAAGTTTCTTTTCCATCTCTCCACGTTCTGCTTTATATAGTTCATCTAACATCATGAAAATATAACAAGCATAACGAGGTGAAGCCCACATTGCTACAGCGTTTACTAAAAGTCTATGAACATAATAACCTTTCAAACCAGGTGCCAAATTCTTGCGATTTTCGTACGGAATCTCTTCTCTCGGTTTTCCGAGGGAAGCAATCATATGAGGAAATTCTTCTAAAAGTTCTTTTGTCTGTTGGTTTTCAAACCAATGATATGCTTGCTTTGTAGAACGAAGAGCATTCATTATACTTTGCATTTGGTACATGTCATCTTTGACTGAACGAATGAGACGTAACTGTTTGTTATACTGTATGTACTCGTATTCTTCATTGATGGCTTCATGAACGATAGCAGTTGTTGTGTTCTCTGATGTTGACATTACTGTCTTTACATACAAGATAAAAATTTTTGTTAGAAAAAAATTAGCGTTATTTTCTGACTTTCACAAAAGACCAAAAATAAACGCTTTACATGTATTTTTCAGCAACTTCGTCAAATAATTTTATAGCTTTATCTATCTCATCTACTTCAAACGTTTCTTTACCTTTCGTGGGAGCACCATACATTTTCTCAAAAACTTCAAGCAGTTCTGTTTCAGCAGCTCTCATATCATTAACGAACACAACCTTGACTCTATTGACTGTACTGTCATATCTTTGAGTTATATTATATGTCCTTCCTATCTTATATCTTTTTGTGTTGAAGTCCTTCGGTTTCTGAACGATGTAAAGTAAGCCTTCACTGCAACGTTCCGTATCGAATGAACCATATGTTATGAAGTTATATCCAACAACTGGGTCTAACCATAACAAAACTATTGGTATAAGACTTTTGTCTATAAGATATGCTCTTGTTCCATGAAATGCTACTGATATCATAAGCTCAGGATTTCTTGTCAAAATTTTCTGAGTAGAAGCAATTCTAACCCAGTCCTTTGTTTTCTTTCCAGAAGGTGTTATAATGTCTGACAAAGAATATTTGTTGTATTTCTTTGAGTATCTTACGTTTAAATCACCTATTCTAACCACTTTGGTGTCATTGTCTATCTTTCTAACTGTTTCAAACTCAATGTTTGTCATTACTGTCTTTACATACAAGATAAAAAAAATAAATAAAAATAAAACTAACTTTATTTTTATCTTTTATGAAAATTCATGAAAATTCATGAGGGTGAAAAAAGAGGTGAGAAAACGGGTGAGATCTCACCTCTTCACCTAAACATTATTTTTGGTGTAAATTTATGGTACCATTAATGATATCATGACTGTTCTCATTCATGTCTGATTTACATCTAATGAAAAAGTTTAGAAGAATTTTCTTATTCTTTCTGGCTTATTTTTGTCTTTCCAGTACTCCCGCTCTAATGGTCCCAGATGTGTTGGCTTCGACTCTCTCAAGTTCTTAGATGATATAACATCTTCAACGCCTCCTTCATATCTTACTTTATAAGTGTCATCGTTTATGTTATAGCCAAGTATTTCAATAACCACTCCTCGCTTTGCTTCGTCAATGGTTTCAGCAAGTTTGCCATTACTACTTTCAACTAATTTCTGACGAGGATAAAGTGCAATAGAGTCGTCAGCAGCTTTTATAAGATATCCATTACCTTGCGTAGAGTCTACGATATAATAGTTTCTACTTAACCTTAAACGTTTCTTTGTCAACGGTTTGTCGTCAAGAACTACACGAACTTTTGTACCAGGAATGAGGGTAAATTGTGTTGAATTTCTGATATTTTGTGTTTGGCTTCGTTTCTTTCGTATATACTTTTCTTCTTGTTGTTGTGTCATTGAATTTGGTGTATGTCCTGTTGTAGAATGTGTTGAGGAATTATATACTTCGAGAAAATGTTTCATTGTTTCTTCGGTAAAGTCTCGCTCTTGGTTTAAATCTCTGAGAGTCCTTATGAAGCGGTTTATGATGCCGAGTATGTTATGGTTATGGTCTTCAGTAGTGTAGTGAGTTATGTTATGCTTAATGAGAAAATCTGTGATTTCATTGCTGAGGTATGCACTGTCTTGGTCTGATGTTAAAGTACTTGGGTATGTTCTGCTACAAACTTTTGTAAAACTCTTAACACTTCACGAGCTCCTTTATTCCTCATTGGATATGCATATGCTTTACGAGAGTTAACATTAATGAAGATGAGGAATGGTTTATGTCCTCCTTTTCTGCTTTGAATGAGAGTGTCAAATTGGTATGCGTCAGGAGTGTTGGAGTAAATTGGTAAAAAGTAGTCGTAAGGGTTTATTTTTGTTTGATGTACAACATTTTTGTCAAAGAACCTTTTCACTTCAGCTCTGTTAGTAAATCCCAACTCTTTGCAGCTTCATTGAACTTCTTAAATGACCTCCATGGTTGTTGTTCGAATACTTCTTTCAAGCTCATTTATGTAAAGTTAAATTTAGTAATTTCATGCTGTTCGCTCTTTTGGAGCTCAGGACTTTCAGGCCGTTCTAACCCATGCATAAACCGTCATATAAGGTGGCATATAGTCTGCTCCACTTCCTGTTGGATTTGTTGTGAAAGTATGGACATGATTTCCTCCTGGTTCAGTTTGTCGAAAAGTCTTTTTTGCTGAATTGTTATAAGATGGAGATAAAACATCATTGCCAGCTTTATATTCTGAGTTGTATAATGGGTGGTCTCGTAATGAGTGGCTATGGTCGCCAGAAAAGTTTGTCGTTCCTGTATGAGTGTGCGCAGGTAAGTTTGCTTCAGTAATTTTCTTCGAACCCCCTGTTTGCTTTGAAGAGTTAGCACAGTATAAGAATTTGTCTACAATCTGTTCCCAAGTACCAAAACCTAAAACTGTTTCTGGATTTGTTGAATTCATTGACGTATAAATAGAACCAACAGAATATATGGTTTGAAGAATCTGGGCCTTCATTGTTAGAAGTTCATGTTTAACGTTTATAGCTTTATTGCCTTCTACAATATTTATATTGTTTGTTATTAAACCATTAGGAAAAGTAGGAGGATAAATTCTTTGTTCTTGTACAGTTGCACCGTTTCTTCCTGTTTTTGTTACTATTTCGATGCATGCTTTAATTTCTTTAATCTTGATTGTTTGAAATTCTTCATGTGTATGGTTCTTGTCGGCTTTTCCATTAAGCGCAGCATTTACTTCCGACTTCTTTGCATAATTTTCATCTACATAAGTTTTGTCGCTTTCTTATCTAACATTGCTGGTAGTTCATATGCTTCAAAGTTTCTGGCATGACCTTCAATGTTCATACATCTGTTATCTAAATTGTTTAGTGTATCTTTTACGCTTGTACTTGGATTCTCTAAAGGTGCACTTGAACCAAGGGTATAGTTCAATATTATGTCGTCTGCTCTAACAGTAGTGAAGGATTCGTTTGTATGGTTCTTGTCAGCTTTACTGTCTAATGTAGCTTGAAGTTCATTTATATCGGAGATGTTGTGTTTATGAGATTTCAAAACTTTGTTCATTGCTTCGAGTTCAACTTTGTCAGCTTTACTTTTAATAGCATCTTCAAACGTTATTTTTGACTTAACTCTCAATGTAAATCTTGGTTCAACTAATACACCGTTAACATTGAAAGTAGAGGCATAAATTTCACCGGTATAACCAAATGCTTCTGGT